ATCATTCGCTATGCTGGCTGCTGATCTTATTGGACGGCTTGATTAGACGGCTTCCAAGATGAGGCCTGCTCATACAGTGTAACAATATCACGTTTGTATATAAGTTCAGTCGCAAGCAACGTGATGCGGATGGCTTGTCATGAGCTCCGATTCAACCCGCTTTTTCTATTTCCTTCGAGCATGGTGAGAATTTTGATTTCTAGGGAGCTGTGACAATGTCAAAGCTGGCATATTATCAGCGATGTGACCATGAGAAACCCTTTTTGATCAAGCGCCTGTAAGAGTAGTGTATTGATGTTCAACAAGCTTTCCCCCTCGTTGCTTGTCAGCATTTGTCTTACGAAACAACATCCTCTATAAGAGGAACTTGAGCGACAGTACAGCGACGTTCCTGACGTCCCTTCACGTCTTCGACCAGGTATTTTAGATTCTTGCCACGACAATCCTTCAGCTGGACGTTTAAGAGTAAGGAGAAGGCTAGCACGCATCCGCACTAAATACTACTGGCCGAAGCTGCTCAGCTCTGTACAATACTATGTTAGAACTTGGCGGGATTAACAAAGACGTAAAAGCCTACTGTTGAAACCAGCAGGTATTATTCAACCGGTACAGCCAGCAGAGGCCCCATTCACAAAAGTGGGAATGGATTTGCTGCACCCCCTGCCTACGTTTTCTTCGGAAACACGGTGGATAATAGTTGCGACTCACTACCTAACTCGATATGTCGAGACAGCGTCTTTTGTCAGAGGATCAGCCATGGAAGTACCCGAATTCTTTGTCTCTAACCTCATGCTGTGGCATGAAGCGCAAAGAGTGTTGATGAAGGACCAAGAAATTGCAATTATGAATGACCTGACTAAGTCTCCCTATTGCAAAAAACAGTGTCCCCAGCGTGATGCCGGTAAGTTTTTTTTTTGGGGGGGGCAATGGTACACGCTGGAGACACTGGTACACGCTTGTATTCACAGGAACTTCGTTGTGCACACTGGGAAAAAGCTGTGTCGCACTGGTAGGGGCGCTGCCCTAATCGCTGTGATGCTGGTGCACACTGCCAAGCGCTGGAAGCACTGGGATTTTCATTGGCAAGCGCTGGTGAATACTGTAGCACACACTGTTTCCACCAACGCAGCGTGCACATGTGCCGTGGTATGTTTCGATGTCGTTGAATACGAAACGCTTCATTCGACGGCACGGAGAGATGCTACCCTAACAGACACCGAGCATACGTAATTTTTGTGGCGCACGTACGTATCGCAGCAATTATAATGCACCTTTTTCGCCTATGCTCCTGCGTATACCGGCCATATTCGCATCAGCCGTTTATTGCTGTAACGATTGCAAGTTGCAGTGTTTGAAAATCTGGAGCTGCACGCCACTCCAAACAGAAGCAGGAAATTGTTTTTGCTGCCAAGTTGATGGAACGTAAATGAGCTCTTTCGATCGCTTTGCAAGGTTTCACAGTGAAGGCGAGAAAAAGCTGTCGTTCGATTCCGCCACACCGCATAAATAGATGTCTGCTCATGCTTATCCTTATACTTACTTCAGGTAACAGTTAGAAATGTTCCGAAGCTCAAATGCAGAATTTTAAACCATCCCAACTCACCGCATCGACAGCGGTCTTACCCAGTGCCCGGCCCAGGGTGCATTAGGCGTTTTGTGCCAGCCGCGTTGCTGTATATGTTACCGGCGTTTCTTGCTTCGTGTACACACAATTTTAAAGTGTGAAAATAACTGTATAGTATACCTTAGACATCCATGAACCTAAATCAACTATTTTGACTTGTGTGCATGTTCGCACAAGGAGCGCTGACGATCGATGCGTCGCGCTTTCAGCTATACGTAAGCAGGCTGTTACCGAAAGCTGCCAGCCGCACTTAGCCGGTACCTCTCTGACTAATATAGAAGAACACGCAATTTCTAGTAGGTAATTTGGTGCACCTTCACGAACTGACTCCCTGGCATATGTTTGCAGTGGATTTCATTAGTATTTCTACGGGTGTTTTTTTTAATTGTTGGTATTGATATCGCTACATATATCTGTACACTGCTACGCACGCTGTATACTGCCAGCGAAGGCCAGAAAAACGGCTGTCGCTCGGTATCGCCACTCCGCAAATGCATTTCTGGCAATGATTGACCTTCTACTTTCTTCAGGTACAGTTTAGGTAACAGTTAGAAATGTTGCAAAGTTCAATTGCTGAAACTACAAGCACCGCGACTCAGCTGCTTCAAGAGCGTCCTTACCCAGGGTTCCGTCCCAGCGAGGCATATATCGTGCCAGCCGCGTCGGTGTACATGCTGCCGGCGCTTTTTACTTTAGGTAGGCACAATTCGAAAGTGAAAGAATGACTGTAAAATACAGTTTAGACATCTCTGAGTTTAAATCAACTATTCTTTTGCGTGTGGAGCCCACACAGGGAGCGACGATGATCGATGTGTCGTGCTTTTAGCAACGCAGGTTGTCCCCGAAAGCTTCCTTCTGAGCGCAGGAGCCGGTACTTCTCTGACTCGTATGTAAGAACACGAAATTTGGAGTTGGTAATTTGGTTCTTTTTGGTGAACTAACACACTGGCGTACTTTTTCAGCGGATTGCATTAGTAATTTTTCGGCGGTTTCTTAGTTGCAGGTATCGATATAACTGCAAATATGTAATCTGGCACGCCAGATGTGTACTGCTACACCGTCGCTTGCGCGAAAAAAAATACTCAATATTGAGTCGTGTGCGCGGATATTTACTGAACAAGACATTTTAAACCATCTGTACACGTAGGCTAGTAGCAAGTGTGAGAAGCGACTATCAAAGTAAAAAAACTATAGGCAGCAGCAGCCGACACTCTGTGGCTGCTCCTCCAGTCAATTCGAGATTTTTCAGAGTTAGGATGTGGATGCTTTAAAAAACTTTGCGCTCTTGCTAATATCCACACGTCATTCGGTGCCCGGAAGCCGTTTGTTGCTGTCGAATCAAGACGCATTTGTTAATGGGAAAAATATCACGTCAATCTTGACTGTGCGACTTGTAAACATGAAGTCGAATGGCACGGTTTTCAGATAGTAATTCTACAACCCACGATGTACGTTCTGGCGTGGCGTAGTGGGAACCAAAGAAAAAAATGATGTAGCGTGGTCTGTAGTTTACTCAGTTTGTAATCAGAAGGTTGTGCGTTCAAATCCCGTTAGGAGGCGTTTTGTTTTCTTAATTTTTATTGCGAATGCGCTTTATTTTGCTTATATATTTATTTATTGCGAATAGGCACCCCCTTTTTAGCCCTGTGAAACCATTTTGCGCAAAGTACTGAGACACTGCCGCTCCAGCGTTCCAGTACGTGAGCTGGAAAGCGCTGGCACCAGCGCCATACTGGGCCCTTAATCAGGCATGGCGCTAGACACTGGTACCCAGTGGCGTGGTTTTTAGCAATAGGGCTACTATGAAATTGACGTAAACTGGTCATAGGAAAATGATGACATATTGTCCTGAAGCAAATGGTCTTACCGAGCGACTTCTCAGAACGCTGGCTGATATGTCGTCGATGTACGCAGATATAAAACACCGCACATGGGATAAAATATTACCCTATGCAACGTTGTCCTTGAACACCACTACGCGAAAGACAACACGGATGACGCGCTACGAACTTGCTTTTACCCGCATGGTAACGACACCTTCAGTGCCCCGCCGCGGTGGTCTAGTGGCTAAGGTACTCGGCTGCTGACCCGCAGGTCGTAGGATTGTATCCCAGTTGTCGCGGCTGCATTTCCGATGGAGGCGGGAATGTTGTAGGCCCGTGTGCTCAGATTTGGGTGCACGTTAAAGAACATCAGGTAATCGAAATTTCCGGAGCTCTCCACTATGGCGTCTCTCATAATCATATATGGTGGTAGTGGGACGTTAAACCTCACATATCAATCAAATCTACGACACCATTAGATGTAATTTTCCCTACTTACGAGACGTCTGAGAATAACTATGATGTCAAGGACTATATACAACAAGCAGAAAAAGCAGAACAGCTGACACGATCTTCTATTCTCCAACAACGACGAAAAATTGACACGCACTGATAAAATCTGCGACAAAGAGACGTACAGTACGCAGCAGGAGACAGAGTACAGGTATGGATTTCCGTACGTATGCGTGGCATATGGGAAAAACTGCTTCGCCGCTATTTCGGTCCGTACAGAGTGCTCCGCCGGGTCGGCTCGCCTGCGAAGTTAATCCAGAGGACAGTATATATCATCACTACGGTGGCATCGCACGGAAACTGTGAATGTCGTCGGGATGAAACCTCATTACGACAGGTAATCTAGAAAACACAACGTTGTTCAACAGGTATCGTATCCATGAAATGGTGTTATAAATAACCGCCATGGAACCTGTTTGTCCCAAGCATTCGGTCGATGCGCTCTGGAAAGGGGGGCAATGAAACAATAGAGCTAGTTACGCGCGTTAGCTCATATTACGCTCTTCGAATTGTTTGTGGTGCAGGTGCCGGCGGGACCCTGTGTCGCGCGACCTGTGCACCACACAAAAAAAAAAAAAAACGTTGAGGAAAAAAGAAGAGGAACCTGATTCTCAGGACTGCTAGGAGATTTCGTTTTAGCTGTTTTCACGGGTGCAAGTTTGCTCTTCCTACGTTGGTTTATTAAAAGTACTTGTTAAACTGTGCGTTACAATAGTGGTTTTCAGACCTAATCTTCTGTTTTCCATGTCCAGTTCATAATCACAACCCCAAAATCAAGAATTGCAAATGTGCAGCTTTGACTGCAATGATGAGTCCCATCATAATTCTTATATAATCCTTATACTTGAACTAATACAATCACCGTTCTTGTGATATTGGTGAATGTAAAGCAAAAATATTTTATTCAATTTTTATAAAACAAACGTACCGGCGAATGTACCTTTTTCGTACTTTTTTAATGTAGCGCACGACAGAGTTTCAGCATGAGTTTACGCTTGTTTTGAGTACGATTCATTGCTCAACTCACCCTTCTCATTTAGGTTGCACATCAGCTGGCTCCCACTACAACCCATTTGGTAAAAACCATGGAGCACCCTATGACCAAAATCGGTAGTACTCCTTCTTTTTCGAAACATTGATTCAGCAATCTTAAACTCTATCCCTATGCTCTCAGGACCCGTTATACTAAAAACGCGTTAGTTACGAGAACTTTGACAGCGTGGACAGCGTAGTAAATGTAGGTTTGTTAGAATACACCAGGCATATAATGAGACTTTAATGCAAAATAAGTGCGATAACTAGCACCTGAAAACTAAATTCTCATTAGAAACGTCATCTTGGTGTTGTTTCTTCTGTCGAATCGCTTTCCGTGGTATCGCTGTCCAAAAAAACATCTGTTACATTATGCCCCTTTTACCACAATTTTAAGAGAAAGATCATGCTCGCCTCTGCACCTTTGTGGTGCATTTTAGAGTGAATTTGAGAGTGACTTTTCACAAATCATCGTAACTAGTTTTGTTATTATTTAGCCGCTGTGTAGACGGCGAGATGCGGAGGGGCACCAGAGTTAATAAGCAGAGTCGAACGCTGGGCATCCACTTTGATGAGATACCACGGCTGCAGTGGCATGCCTTACGTGCTAGATGCTCTTGCGTGCTTGCTGTGCTTTCTAAGTGTTCTCAATGAGCTGCTCGTAATGTAGCTGAAGTACAGTAATCAAGAATAATGGCTCCGTTCCAATTTCTCAAAGCATATATTACTAAACTTTAACATGTCTGCTCGTTTATCACTTAAGGTGCCCAATTCCTGCATATATTTTGGCTCAATTGTTCAAAATGAGCTCGATTTTCATAAAAAACAGACCAGTTTTGAACCGCATTTTTTATGTACCAAATAAGCCTATGCAGTAAGCTGCATAGGCTCATTTGGTACGTAAATAATAATGGTACGCAATATTATCTGTTACGCTTTGCCCCTTTTAATTACCACAGTATTTGGAGAAAGATCTTGCACACCTGTACACTTTTGCGGTAACTTTTATGGCCAATTTGAGAGTGACATTTGAGACATTAGCGTTACTATTTTTGAATATTTTTTACCGCTGTGTTGATGGCGAGATACGGAGGATTACTTGAGACAATAAGCAGGGTTGAACGCTGGCCATCAACTTTTAAGAGATACTACGGCTGGAGTGGCATACTTTACCTGCTAGATGCTCCTGTGTATTTGCTGTGGTTTCTAAGTGTTGTGAATGAGCGCCTCGAACTGTAGCTGTAGCACAGTAATTAGGAATTAACGGCTGAGTTCCAATTTGTGAAAGCATATATATGAATAAACTTTTGCATGTCTGCTTGTTTATTACTGACGTTGCTTATTTCTGCGTATATTCTGGCTAAATTGCTCAAAATGAGCTCGAGTGTCATAAAAAAAAAAACAGACCCATTTCGAACCCCATTATTTATGTATAAACAGGCCTATGCAGTAAGCTGCCACAAAATGAAAACACCTAAAAGTAAAACGGCTTACACCGTACATAAAACTGCTTAGAATAAAACACTTTATTTTAAAAGCAGTACTCCACATGCGAGAGCCCGTGTTCTGCATAAGAGTTAATCGTCAAGAAATGCTTTGTCACTTAACGTTCACTGCGTTTTCGCTTAAAGGCCTATTCTGTCACACCATGTGCAGCTTTCAGTTTGCCACTGTTTTCTCTTTTTTTTCGTTGTGTTGTTTTTTTTCTATACTTTTTGCCATTGTTAATAATTTCCAGGGCGAGTGCCCAGTATTTTAGACTCTTGGGTGTAGTGATACATGTTTCTACTTTAAAAGAGCTGGTATGCTGCGATCGCTCCTTAACTCTGTTGTTACAATTAATTTCTTCTGCCATTTATTCCAGTCATATTGGAGACCTTGGTAACATAGAGGCGGACGACAGTGGTTCTGCAGTTTTTGGACTGACAGATGGCCAATTACAACTAAATGGCGAGCTCTCTATTATTGGTCGTTCCATTGTGGTAAGAAATAGCATATTTCTATAATGGGATGGCATCAATGAGTGAAAACAATATTTTTTTCATTTTTATTGAATAATCATAAATGGTGATCTCTCTTGGCACCAAAACAGGAAGATAATGAACATGAGCAGACGTAACGCATAAAATTCAATCTGTGTCAATTGATGCTACACAATATAAGTAAAGAACGGTAAAGAAAACATGGCAAGAAAACAGAGACGGGAGACACACAAGAGCACAGATTCACAATGAATTTTTAGTTATCACAGAGCATGAAATACAGAGCGTAGACACCAAAATTCTGAATTAATCAACAGCCCTGCGAACTTGTCGTTCACCCAGAACAATCACTTACTCATGTATATACGCAAATGTACAAACGGCTTTTTCTTTCTTAGGTCATTGTTGGGGACGCCTCGTCAATGCGTGTATCACCCTGTTTTTTATACGTGCAGCTCTGATTGTTATTCAATTCGTCTTGTCTGACAAAGAGCCAAGCACTGTCGTGTCTTCAAAGGGTTTAACGCATCCGCAATCTCTGAAATGTAACCTCGAATAGACGAAAACAGCTGTGTCGACGTTGTAATAGTGCTCTTTGTGTATTTTGCTCAAGCGTCTGCACGTGTGCCCGTTCAAGCTTGGCCGTGACAAAGGCATAGAGTAGGCTTCATTGCAAGCGTATGGTACAAAATGCCTGCGGTGCTGTGTGGATCAAGTCGTAACTAGTCCATTTTTCCTCCATTTAAGCGTCCACATGCACCTTATATCTTGAAGGCACAATGAGGCGGAAAAAACGGCATGCACTATTACTGTACTACCTGTTTTCTTAATGAAATGGGAGATGTGATGCAAGTAGAGTACGACAACAATTATTTTATCACGAGCCCCTCCTTAGTCAAAATGACTCGAATGAGAACCGGAGCTGCACGCATGGAAAAACGGGATGACGCTAGCATACGCATGGTGTCGCCAACACTGACTTAGGAAGAGAAGCAGTTTCTAGACGTTTTCAGCTAGATGTATAAGCGATTGTTACGAGTGGCCTAGTGCAAGAGATTCTTGAAAAGTTCATTGATTTTGTGTGTATTCTCAGATGGTCACTTTAAGGACCGTGCCGCTTGGCTTGGAACATAAAATAGTGGGTCATGACTCAAGCAACTGCTTGTCTGCCCTTCGTTAACCAGCCAATCAGCGTGCACTGGCCGGTACATTTCGGTGACATCGCCCGAATTGATTGTTTGAAAATACGACTTCACTGCACAGGTTAGCAATGTCATATTCATGCTTAAACTGTTCGGCTTCTCTATACAAGACCATTACCACCACGTCAGAACATCCTGATTTTGGGGCGTAAAGTGTACAGTTTATTTTTTATGAATGTGGCCTGGTGGCACTGTGGCTTCAGAGCCTCTCTAATACGTCTGCTCAAACACAGGCTGCTCTGAACTAAGGCGGACATAGTTTGCAACTCTATCGATTTCTATGACATGAAGACTGTAGGTGGGTTACTAATTAGGTGAAAGATAGTCTTACAAAATCTATTACATTACAGTTGCACATTACAAATGCTGCGTGGTTAACATCTTAACCAGAGTCCTGAAAAATGCCCATTTATAAAACTTACGCTTAGAATCACTAATCTTATTACAGAACTTTACATCCAGACAACGTCACTTTAACGCAACCTTCGAAAAAATGAAGGATAGTAGGGTAACCAAAATCTGCGAATGGTGCCGAGAGGAAACCATTGTTCGCTAACTCAAAAAGAGCTTCGGTATAAAAATCTCAATGCGCCAATATGGCAAGGTGCTAGGCTTGAGATTTTCAGGGTGAAATTTGGAGATTTGAGAGTCATCAAATTCTACTAAATGATGTTCTATAGTGCTTCTATACTGACTCGTCACAATAATTTCGCGAAATTTTTGTGTAGTGGGACCCCATCATTGTTTATCAAATTAGCAGTTGAGAAACATGTAGCTGTCCTATATACTGTATTTACTATTTTATAGCGCAATATATCTGCCCCAACTTGTCCTATACGAAGGTCCCAGGTAAACATATATTTGCAATTTTGCCGGTAACGCGCAACAACCCTCATTTTCATTTTTCATCTGATTTAGAAAAGCGCATGATGAAGCTTCGTACCAAGCTTTGCAATTCGAAAGTGAGATTGCATTTTTACGCAGAACACTGGTAACCTGCACATAGACAGGACAGCCTTCGACTGCGCATCGCCTGAGCGTGTTCCAGTTTTTGGCAGTCCCGCAAGCAGAACATAATGAAGTACCGCAATTTGATTGATATTCTATACAGGGCTGTAATATTTACGTTACTCTTCTATAGTCCAAATACTAGGTTGTCAAACTTTGAGGAAGCTGGGCATTCAGTGCAGTGCTCAGCTGTCGAATGTTACAAAAACCAGAAAAAAATGTTCGAATTTGCACGCACATGCAGATTACCTCTAATTACGTATGCAACACAGCGAACAATGCCGAGTGGTTCCGTGAGCAAGAATACAACTATCTCCATAAGACGTAGCCTCTTCACGGAAGTCATTCGTGAGCGCAGTTACCACAGAACAACCCGTCACTCTATTCAGGCGACAAATCTTATTCCATGATCAAAATACAACAACTTCTTTCGGACAAGGCGTTCTTACGTATTCTATACGTTATTGCAACTAATACTAAAAATGTTTGTATTGTTCCACAAAACAGTCTGCTGTATGGTTCTGTACAACAGGCTGCTGTATTGTTCCGCACAACAGTACTGCACCACAGCTGGGCCATGCCGCCTGCATGCAAATTATATAAATGGAAGATTTCATTTATGTTCTGCGTCCCTGTGAAGGTCAATTATTTGTATTGTTTGACGAAGACTTTTCTTGGCTGGACACGCTGTTGTTTTAGTTTCTGGGCACACCTTCATCTGCAAGTGAGCACAGGGTTCAAAGAATGATTAAAACTTTCTGTATGTCTTGCACAGGTAGCATGATTTTGTGGAATGAATGCAGTCGTTCATGGCTAGCTCCCTAAAGTACCTGCTTGTTATGTACACAACACCAAATTGAACAGTAGTCCAGTTGAACAAAACTCTACACAAAGAACACAAGAATGGAGCGTGCAGCAAACACAGCAACAAAGCGCACATGACCTGTTTATAGAGCTAATTGCGGCACTGAAATGACGAAAATGGGACAGGCCGAACATGCACAAGCATGTGTCCCATAATTGTGATTTGAAGTACTACGCTGAACTCTATGAAAATGATACACCAACAAGGCGAAAAATTTACCCGTGCTAAGTTCACGTGACATCCTCCCTTTCCCTTTTTTGAAGATTTTTTTTGTTAGCCAATCTGTACATGCAAAGATGTTCCAAACTACGAGTGAATTATAGTGTGTAAAAAGTTTACTTGCAACTGCAATTCATAAAGTTGCATAGTACGATGAACCAACTAACCCAATCTTCAACACTCATAGAAGAGTTCGCATGTATGCAGGCGGCAGGTGTAGCATATGTTGGCAACATGTCAGTGAAGGTTGACCAGTCCTTTAGTAACATACGTCCTCGTTAACATGTTCTTGGACGTTAATCGTTGACAACAACTAAACCAATATTCCATATCCTCCCCCCCCCCTGGATGTGTCTCCAAGCTATTTTCAATCACTGTTTATACAAAAACTATGCCTTGTTGTCTAGCAGTTAAACTCAGTCTTGCAACAAGCTGCACTGGTGGCAATAGCAGCATCCCCCCTTTGCAGTCTTTGAAGCTCTGAACTTTTTCTGCCCATTTTGCCAATAGGAGTGGGGATGCGATACACCAGTGTAGTTTGTAGAAGACCTTCCTCCAATCATGCGCAGGTGTGCGGTCCAAAAACGTATATCCAAAAGTATACCAAAAAGCACTGAAGATTTGAGTGAGGGCATCGGTAAAGCATAATGCAAAGATTGTGACGCAACTTCCATGGCCAAAACAAATAAAAAATGGTCATGGAAACTTAAAGAACGTATAGAAAATATTGCTTAAGTTTTCCATGCAGAATGTTTTGACACACAGCTTCTTAAACGCTGCTGAGTGACGAGACATAGCTGCTACCTCAACAGTTTGAATATGTCACCTCGTATACAAAGGGGAGAAAAAAGAAAACTTTTAGACTTGCGGTCCATTTGTTACCATGTATCAGCTTCCAACAATCCTGGTCTTCTATCTATAAATATTTACAAGAAAATATGTGACCAGTGGACTGGTGCAACTTTGCCATATTATTGCCTGCATATACTGAGAATGCTACCTTCATAGATGGCAAAGCTTTCACGTCATTTTGTTATTATTTGTTCTGCAATGTCAGAGTAAACAATTTACAATTAAACCTCAAATCCAGAGTGTATGAGGGGTAGGTCGTGTATATGCACTGTGCTGTATTATCTTGCCGATATGTTAGTCCTACCAGCTGCTGCATGCCAAATGAACAATGAAATGCACTACTTCACGCTACTTAAAACACACCTTTGGCAGATGTATTCAGAAACATAATTGCCAAAAGTACTGAAAGCCTGCTTATGAAACTGTGTGCATGAGCCATGAACAGCTTCACTTGGCTCCTTTCTGTATGTCTGAAAAGGAACTAAAAAAAACAACTATTGTAGCAGCAGCAAAGTTCAAAGTTTAAGCCCACTATGAGGTCTATTACGTACATCACCTCTATTCACACCACTATTTCATGAATAAAAAAAGCACATGGTATTTCTTGAAGAGAACTGATCACATACAGAACAAGCAGCAGGATGCTACGAAGAGCTATTGCTATAGTAGACAAGAACTCAACGTGAAACACACTATATTCCAACTGTAAAAGAATTTAAAGTCTAGCATAACTAATTTCGTTTAATTATTGCTATTGTGTGACAGTTACATTTCCTGTAACTACTAACACCATAGAGAGGTATGTGAGGTGAACAAAGGAATATTGCAATATATTATGAATCGTTACACATGAA